GTTTTTCTTCCAGTACCAGGAATCGAACTCACGACCTTGCGCTTGCCAGGCAGGCGCTGTGCCGCTGAGCTAAATCCCCAGCCCCTAAATCAGCTTTAATAAGTAGCCAGGTGACAGAAGGGAGTCAGCTGTCCTGTCCAGTACCCTGACAAGTAGGAGTTAGATGAGATAGGAGTGTTTTCTGCTTTGTCCTCTCTATCTTAAAAGCAGGTATCTTCTAGCTGGGTGTATGACATACACTGTAATCTCGGCACTTGTGAGGCTGAAGCAGGAAGATGACCAGTTGAAGACCAACCTGCACTGTGTATTAAGACCTCATCTCAAGAGAGAGAGAGAGAGAGGAAGGAAGGAAGGAAGGAAGGAAGGAAGGAAGGAAGGAAGGAAGGATGAAAGAAAGAAAGTTAGAAAGAAAGGAAAGGAAGGAAGGAAGGAAAGAAAGGAAGAAAGAGAAAGAAAGGAAGGAAGGAAGGAAGAAAGAGAAAGAAAGGAAGGAAGGAAGGAAGGAAGAAAAAAGAAAGGTAGTTTTGCATTTGCACAGCTTGGGCAGGATTGTTTGCTATTTCAAGTAAAAACATACTTAACGTCCTTGGATAACCTTCTATACTTCCACTGTTTTTCAAATCAGATCCAGTGAAGGGCCAAGTCTGTCATGTACCCTTATTGCAGCTTTCCCATGCTGCGTCTCAAGGGCAGCACAATTATGGAAACCAGAAACTGACATCCCTACAGTACTTTATCCAACATAAAGGGTGTATTACAATTTTACCAGTGGCGCTACTAGGGCCTTTTTTCAGGGTAGGATCAAATCTGGATCCCACAGCACTTACTGTCTGTCACATCTTCTTGGACTTGTCTAGACAGATCTGTTTCATAACCTTTGTACTTGTGAAGAGCCCTGGCAAATAATTGTGTAAAATTCCTTCCAGTGTGGGTTTCCCCAATATGTGCAGTAAGAATTAGCATACGCCTTTTGCAGGAATATCACTGAAGTGCTTTGTCCCCTTCCTGGGGCATGATTCCATTGGGTCCACGGTGTTCAGGTCTCACTGCTATTGATATAACTTTTGATCACTCAGATAAGATCGTGTGGTACAAGTTTGGTTTTTTTTTTATTATACACTTACTACTTTTTCATTGGAATTAAGCATCTTGAGGGGAAATAGTTGAAAACTGTGTAAACACCTTTTTTCATACTTTTGCAAACATCTTAGGTCCCGTGAACGATTCTTTCATGCATGGACGATTCTTTCCTGCAACAGTTATTTCTTGGGTATTTGCCCAAAGGCTGATACAATTTATTTTCATCATTGGAGACCACAATTTCTGCAAGTGCAGGAGCAGCATCCGCTTTTGTCACCACTCCTGTCTCAGAGCCTGACGTGCTGTCCGCCACACATTTGACGCCTAATCACCCTTGACCTCAAATACAATCTTCTCTGGCCAAGGGACAATGCTGCTTCTTCCCTCTTTGCAAATGCTGCATAAGTACAGCATACCCTCTGGGTGCGGCGAACTCCTCTCACTACTGCCTCACTTCCGACCTCCCTCCACATCCCAGTCTCCTGAGAGAAAGCACAGGCCTCGCAGGAGAGGGCTCTGCAGAACACATTTTCCTTGTCCTTGTTTCTACACAGAGAAATTTTTAATTTGCCGAAACCATTTGACTTGAAAACGTCACAGCAAACAGAAAAGTGCTGGCGTGATGGGCTGTGGGGCCTGGCGGAAGTCCTGGTTCACACAGGACGCTGCGCATCCTGGAAGCCGGAAGGAAGTGGAATCCCAGGCGCATCAGCCAGCAAGTGTAGTAGGACACATGTCGCTGTGTGAAGTAGCTTGCAGCTGAAGCTTGTGATTCTTGCAATAAAGTCAGCGATGGCGGACATCTGTGTGTTTCTGTAGAACTTGAAGCCCTATGTGAGCCATACTGGGGGGATTCCGGCCACGCAGAGTGGCCAAAGGGTCAGCTGTGCAAGCCAGAGGAGGTCACACCGCCTCATGTAGTGGTGGTAGCTACATTTGGCATGAGGCTGAGGCCTCTATGGATTGCAGTTTGTTGTGGGATCAAAGGAAAAAAACTTGACAATGACATGGGCTGTGTTGTGGTTCCAAATCCCAGCAGTCAACAAGAAGTAGAAGAGGAGGCACAGGTAATTCAGTGACACTTAGCCCAAGCCCAACAAAAGATAGTTTTTGCCTTGTGGAGGCCTTTGCAAAACCAGTGCCTCAGATAGAGGAGATGAGATGTGGTCATGAAGGATTTGGCTAAAGTTTCAGGGAAAGAGAAGCTGATGTTGCAAAGGGAATCCCCAGAGGGCTTGGTGCTGATAAAAGTCTTGAAAGTCCAGTTAATAGAAATGAAGGATGAGCTGGAGCCGTCACTGCAGCTGGTGGGGCAGGGCATCATTCCACCTGGGAAAGGAACCTGAGGACCGAATACAGCCTCTGCTTGAACTGTTGTTGCAACATCAGTTTTTTTCATGATCCTGAAAGCTGGAACGATCCCTGTACGTAGACCTTCTGTCTGATCAACAAGTTGTAAGTTGTCGATTAGAACCAGGGGTCTAACATATTCTGACTGTTAAGGATGATACTCTGAAGAAAAAACTGAAGCTAAAAGCAGAATTCTCCAAAGCCAAGCCAAAGCTGTTGGAGAGACTTCTGCTTCTGCTAGAGAGCTCCCTGGTGATTCAGATTTTGATAAAGAAGCTGCACTGAAATACTATAAAGAAATGGAAGACAAGCAAAAGTTAAAGAGAAAAAAAAAACAGGATTTTGAAGATCAGAATACAAAGAGTCATTACCTGTCAGACTGTTAGAAATAGGAGACTTACACTCAGAGAAAGATTGATCACAGCCCAGAGGGAAACATAAAGAGCTAGAATTCAAAGAGAAGACCAGCTTTGTGAAGTTCTATGGAGCAGAAAAATGTTACAGTAGTAAATTATGGGATATTGGTGCAGGAGTTAAAGAGTGTTAAATAAAAATTTTGCTTAGCTTAATTAAAGTTGTTGGCAATACTTTTTTTTTAAATTTTATTTTAAAAAGAGTAGTACATGAGACAAAAGCAAACAAAAGAGTAGAACAGTAGCAGCATACCAGTATCACGAACATAAACAAATCAAAGCAGGAGCATTCAAAGTGATACAGGGTCTCAGACAAATTAATACAACAGTGGTTGTTACATTGCATATCGCTATCCTCAACTACATTTCTCAGATTATCAGATGTAAGAATGAAAGATTGCTCAAACAATACTTTTAGATTAGTACATTTTGATTTTTAACTAAAAAAAATTATTTCCATCATTATTTCCATATCATTAGAATTCTACTGTAAGGAAGAGCTGTTTCCCCCATTTATTATATCAATGCATGTTTATGACTGTTTGACTCTGGATTATAATATGGCACTATAATTGTTTATTTTGTTGTTCAGATTATCCCACATTTGGCCATTGGGCGTCACCTTCACATAGTGTCCTGTTTCTTTTTGACGTACGGCCATCATTTTTTGAAAAAGCATTTTACTGTTCTTGGACACCACAGATGTGCCAACCTTATTTTGCTGCAGCCCTACATGCAATCATTTCTGCGAAGAACCCTAGTTACTTTATTTGGGATTGGTGTTTAGAATCAGAATCCGAGTGCTGGATGTGTTTGTTGCTACTTGTATGGCGTTGCTTCTGGGCCTTCTTAGCTGACAGAACTAGGCAATATGGCTGTGTATATATACATCTGTGAACCCACCCCTTTATTTTTATTTATGCATATTTGCATAATAAGGTGGTAGGCTTATCCTAGTGCTTCTGCTTACTACCCAGTGCCACAAGTTTCCTTCTCGATTTCTGCCTTTGCTTATTTGTGACTTCTTTCTCCCACAGAGAGAAACCTGAAAAAAAACTTTCCTTCTTGACTCTTATTATCCACAGTATGTTTACTTATTTTCTGAACCCTAATATGTGTGTAAAGAAATTTAAGAATGAAATCCCTGTGAGAAACAAATTTACCAATTACAGTCTTTGCAATTTATCTCTTTTGTCTTGAGCCTTACAGTATTGGTAAAAATACTTTTTTTCAAAATTTTTCAGGTTAGATCTCTTCTTCCCTACCCATTTCTGTTTAGCTATTGTTCATTTGTGATATAGCTGGGTTAATTTGTTACTGTTTGTATTATATACTGTGTTCCCCCTGCACAGACACTGATTTTAATTATGATTTATTTGGGGTTATGTGTAAGAGTCAGAATGATATAACAGGCATGTTCAGAACATGTCACTCCGACCTTGTCATATTTCATTCTTCCATTCTTTCTACCCCATTCATCACATCCACTTGTAGGTAACCTTTGTTAATTCTCCTGTATTTCTTTTTGCACAAATGGACAGACACATATTTTCTTGTACAAAGATGACATTTCAGTCACTTTTGTGATATTGGGCAATTTGTACAGTTTTATCTCTTCAGGGTACAACATAGGCTTACTGGTAATATACTAGAAAGCTAGTGAAACCATTATTTTGTTTTTTGGGAAATATTTGTGGGATTTTTCTTTCCTAAACCAAAGATGACAATTTGAATTTTGATGGTCTCATTAGCACTCTGGTATCTATTTCTTGACAATAATAACAAAGAAATAGATGATGTTTTTGAAGTTATCATATATGCAAGATATTTAAAAACTTCTTTCTACTTGTAGTTCAATTGGAAGGGGCAAGGGGCATAGCTCAGTGGTAGAGCATGTGATTAGCATGTGCAGGGCCCTGGGTTCAATCCCCGGTACATGATGCACAAAAATGGGTTTGAATTACTTCATGCATCACTGTTACACACACACTTATACATTCCTTACCCTCCAGCGCTGCCCACTCCACCCTCACTCCTGGAGTTCCTTCAGTGTAGCTTTCCTTAACATATAAGACCAAACCAAACATCTTCGCAAGTCTGCTTAATGCACAAGGATGCATGTCACTGAGCACGCTTTCTCTTTCCAATATTTTGCAGGCATTTGGGCAGTCTTTCTCCATCCACCGCAAGGTGGCCGAGGATGGAGAGACTCGGGAGGAAACGCTTCTGCAGGAGTCGGCATCGAAGGAAGCTTACTACCTGGGCAAGATCTTGGAAATGCAGAACGAACTGAAACAGAGCCGGGCTGTGGTCACGAACGTCCAGGCGGAAAACGAGAGGCTCACGGCTGTCGTTCAGGACCTGAAAGAGGTAAACCCATAAACTGTTTACCTGACAGAGTAGGAGGCAGGAGTAAGACTTTCTGTAATCAGAAGAGCTCTTAAGCAAAAAGCGTGCAATACTGGCGCTAGCAGAGGTTTTTGAATTTTTAGCAAGATAGCATCTTGCTTTGAGATGAGCTTTTCTCTCTTTTATTACTTTTTGAGAATTTAAGTTTTCTTGGGTCAAGTATTTTGGTACTGGCCTTGCTAGTTTTGCAGAGGTGTTTCAAAAATAGTGACCTTAGCCGTCTCCCACCCATTATCTGTTTGAATGCGAGGTGAGGATACCAGTGGGCTGTAATGGTTTGTAGCGGCACCAATTCAGAGTGATGGTAGTGTTAGCTCAGGTTGCTTCTTGCTGGGGAGTGAGATCCTAGGGGAGTGTTCTAGGGGTCTTAGAGTCTGGTGATGTGGAACCCTGTTATGGTTTGTGTCTAGATGTCCCCCAAAGGCCTCCTGTGCTCACAGAGTTTTCTTTGGAGGTGTGTGAATCTAGAGTGTGTGACTGATTCATGGTTCAGTGCCAGAATTAAGGGTGCTGGGATTAAGGATGGGTGATTGCTTGATCCATCTACTGATTGGATTGGCACTGTCCTAATCCCGGCAGTCTGGGTGAAAGGGGCAGGAAGAGGCTTATTTCCCTCTTTCTCCCCTCTTGTTGCTTTTGCTGTCTTCCACCACCATAAACTGTTGCCCCTCTGTCCTGTGCCACCCTGCCAGCTGATTAAGGACTGAAACCTCCACAAACTGAGCTAAATAAACCTTTCCTCCTGTGACTTTGGGTGTTGGATATTTTGTCTCACCAATGAGAAAAGTCACTAACACTGGAGACAAAAGAACTGATCGTGGGGAGTCAGTGTGGGGTTCGGAGAAGAGCTGAGATGGTTTTCAGGATCCTTTGCTTAGTTTCCTCCACCCAAACCATTATTAAAGGCAGAGCTGCTCTCCAATTTTTATTTGGTGCGTCTTTGGGTGCTGGGTTTTCCCATTGTTTGCTCTCCCTTTGAGTCACTAGATCCTCCTGCTCTAAGGGGTTGCCATTCGCTCCTCCAATTCCAGGGTTCCCTGTGAGACCAGCATCCTGTGTGGCATAGATCAGAGGTCATGCAGTGCCCTCACCCACCATCTGGGGTATCCACAGTGGGCAACCTCAGCCACCATGGCCAGGTTTCTGTACAGGTTGGCAGGCCAGCAGCTGAGGACCGTATGCACAGGTCCAGTTATTGAGAAGAGCTGTGATCAGTGAGTTAAGCTTCTTGATGTCCAGCTGGCTGGATCCCCTGAAAGCTGGACATCTCACCTCTGGCGGCTGCTGCTGAGGAAAGAGCAGCTGAAATTTAGGAAAGGGCAGGGAGTACAAAGATGTTTTCTGTGTGAATCAAGACAGTGGTCTCACTATGTAGTTCAAGCTGGCCTTGAAATCACAACGATCCTCCTGCCTCAGCCTCCCGAGTGCTGGGATTACAGGCATGTGCCACCATACCCGGCTCAGAAAAGGTTTATTTTGGCTCACAGTTTTGGAAGTTTCAGTGCATGATCAAGTGGCCGTACGGTTTTTTGGTGAGGCAGCACATTATGGCAGGGAATGGATGGCAAAACAATGCCCTGCCCCATGACCATGACACAGACAGAACAGCAGAAGAAAGCTCTGGGGCTCCACTCTCCCCCTCAGGGACACACCTTCGGTGACCACAGGATCTCCCACTAGGACCCCCCTGAACTGCCTTCCCGCAGCGCACCTCTGGAGACCAAGATTTAACGCACGGGCCTGTGGGGATCTTGGCTGAGTCTAGTACTGTCTGTGTTCGGGTTCCTTACCACCAGTGTGGAGATGACTAGTCTAACTTACAGGTCCTGTGCACTATAGCTGGTATGATAAAGGTGCTAAATTACTGTTCACCCTGTGTCTTCTCCCTCCCTCCCACGCAGTGAGACGGACGTGGATCCCACTCCAGGCCCAGTGTTAGGGGGCTGTGGGGATAAAAGAATCGGCACTTGAGAGCAGTGCGGGGGAAGCAGTGTTCCCCAGGGAGAGTCCAGTTTCCATTAAAGGAAGGGGAGGTGTGCATTATCCAGTCAGCGAGAGCACCGCAATGCGTGTTGTAATCCCATATGCTCAGGGAGTCAGTGAATATCGATTGCTCAGAAAATGCAGGCTTTATTGTCAGGAGTTTCTCTGTGTAAAGCTCGGAAACATTTTTCCTCTTTTCAAAGAGCAGATATTTGTCAGAAATAAATATAGTAGCTTTTTAATAGCTTTCAAAAAGATGTTATTTGATATTTATTCCAAAATACGTGTTGCATTTTTGAGGTTGTTACAGGAAGGGAATAAAGACTGTCTCCATGATCCCAAATATTCGGGGGAGGACTTTAAAATTTCAAGCATTTTAAATATTCACAACATCTGGAGATTGGACTTCCCTTGGGCAGAGCATAGTGCCATGACTTCTATTTCTGCTTTAGACCATGAGAAAGAGCATAAATTTCTGGCCTGATAAGATAGCTACAGCCATTTTCTATATAGCAGCCAGGCATTAAAACCTATGGGTAGTTAAATGAGAAACTGCAGGAAAGGTCAGGCTAACCTTAGAAACGGATGGAGAGCGTTGCTCAGGACATTGTAGAATGGCAGTGATGGAGCTGGCATAAGTTTAAAAGTTTTAAAGTAATCTTAGTCTATTTTTTCAAAGTCATTGAGTTTTTATCAGTTATCATTGACTATTTGCAAATAATAAACAGCACGAGGCAGCCTACTTTTTAAAGTCTAGAATCAGCATGGTGCAGACTTGGCATATACAGGAGCATTTTGTCCTCTCCTCCTTGCTCTCCCTTCCGTCCTGCTCTCCCTTCCCTTCTCTGCCTTGTGAATAGGTTATTTCTCCCTCCTGGAATGTAAGAATCAGGATCTGTGCACAATCCATTTTGCACACATTGATTCTTGGACTAAAAATAGCTTGATCTGGTTTCCAACTTCTTCTCCCACCCCAAGCTCAGGTTTTGTTCCCTGTGCAGCCTGGGCAGGAGGAGAAGTAATAGTCAGCGTTTCAGCTGAAATGCTTAGTGGACAATTTCAAACTTTCTTTTACATCCTGACCTCTATTTGCAGAGAACATCCTGGTTGGCAGGTCTAGCCTGATTAAGATTCTGTTCAGGCATTTAATTCTCCTAAGAGAATTTACAACTTAATCTAACAATCAATGATACCCAGACCCACTCAGGACTTAATTTTTGGAAGGTTATAGGAAACTTATACTTCAGCAACCTAATGAGTGAGCTCAGTGATGTAATAAAAAACCAAATATATATATATGTTTATATCACTGGATATTTATTAAAAATATGTGTAGCAGTTTAAAGTTATTATAGGAAGGTGTCTTAGTTACTTTCTCTTGTTGCTGAGACAAAATACCTGACACCCAATATTAAGGAAGGAAAGGTTTATTTAGCTCATAGTTTGTGGAGGTTTCAGTCCATACTCGGCTGGCTCCAAGGCAGAGTGGCATATGGCAGAAGGCAACAGTTCATGGTGACAGAAGACAGCAAAAGCAAGAGCAAAAGGGGAGGAGTGGCAGCAGGCAGCCTTTTTTCCTCCCTTATATTGTATGCAAAATACCTGCCCCAGGGGCAGGTGTAGCACTCACACCCATAATCCCAGCATTGGAATATGGATCAATCAAAAATCTAGAAGCCCGCACCAGGACTGCATAAGGATTTGGGGGACATGCAGGCACAAACCATAACAGAAGGCAATAAAGACTGGAGGACCATAATTATATAAAACTTAATGATTAGCCAACAAAGATAGACTGAGTTGTTCTGGATGTATAACCGATCCAGACTTTATCTTGTGTTTGAATTATGCACTGTACTTCCAACAAGAAAGGCTGCACACTGATTACCTGCTGAGCTGGCATCCAGATCACTTTTTTTTTGTACCAGGAATTGAACTCAGGGCCTCATGCTTGCCAGGCAGGCGCTGGGCCGCTGAGCTACATCCCCTCCCCCACCAGATCATCACTTGTTCAGTAATATGAAACTATTTAAAAACAGTTTTCTGGTACAGTTTTGGCTTCACTAAAACAATTTTCTAAAAAGCAGAATTGTAGCTGAACATCTGAGGCTCTCAAGGTATATAAAAGTTTCAGAGCCTGACCAGACTATAGAAATACAGAATATCATAATGGCTTTGATGACACCCAAGTCTCTTGGTATACAATAAAGCCCTGTAGTTGTTTTTGTTTTGTTTTGGTTTTTGAAGCAGGGTCTTTCTATGTAGTTCAAACTGCCCTTGAACTCACTGTGTCGCCAGGCTGGCCTCAAACTCACTGCAATCTTCCTGACTCAGCCTCCCAAGTGCTAGGATTACAGGGATGTGCAACCACGCCTGGCACTACAATTGTTTTTAAACATGATTATTAATAGATCAACGATACTTATAGGTAAAATTATTGTGTCTTAACTAGCATGTGCAAGAGAGTGTCTGAAAATGAGGTGCTTTGCTATCTGTATACAGAGCTGGCCAACAAGAGTTTTCTGGATAGCTAACTCAGTAATTAAAAAAAAAAAATAAAAGAACCTGTCAGATGGCAAGTATTTGTATCCTCAGCAATTAATGATAATGAAACAGGAAAATAATAAAAATGGTTTATCACCTTTAAGTCAAATTTTCATTGGCAATGCTTGTCAGTGAAACATTTCACAATTTTTTTTTCCATTTCAGTACATATGCTACCAAAGCAAGCGCACAGTTTTTTTTTTTTTTTTTCATTATCTTTTTGAACCAGGGTCTTACAAAGTTTCCCAGCCTAGGTCTAAACTAGCGACTTCCTGCTACAGACTCCCAGGTGCTGGGATTACAGGCATGCACCACGACACCGGCTCATTCTCTTCCCCTCATTTTTCCTAACTCTCACAGAATTAAATACTGAGCTGTATACTGCTGTAGCAAAGGTGCATATATTTTGTGGCTTAAAAGAGCACAGCTGATTT